GGAGCCCCCGCCCAGAGCTCCGTCCCGGTGTGCACCCTCAACCTCTCGTGGGAGCAGGAAGGGTGGCTTTTGACGTCCCCGCCAGGGCGGCCGCCGGAGTCCCTGTGTCCTCTGTAGGCTGGGCTCCTGTGGCCCTGCAGGGCTCAGGGAGGGGGGCCCCGGGGAGGGCTACCCGCAACAGAGACGGGTCAGGCCCGGCCACGTTCCTCAAAGCCAGGGGAGGACTTGGCGCAGAGAGGTGTCAGCCACGGGACAGCGATGGTGAGTGTGTGGGGTCAGGGTTGGTGACTGTCCCGTGCTCTTAGCCCTTCTTGGGCCTTGTGACACAAGGTGTCCCATGCTGGGCACCTKGAGGGAGTGGGGACAGGGTGCCGAATGCCAAGTGCCAATGTCTCGGCTTGGCACAGAATCACGAGCCACCACAGAGCTTTGTAGGTTCAAACAGCAATTCTTTATTCCBGATCTCACACCAGCCTCCACACACGTTCAGGGGCAATTCCAATATGTCCGATCCCAAATCCTACTCCACGAGGTTTATTTTCAAATCCCATTTCAATCTCACGAGAACTCAATGGGAACAAGCAGCAGGAACACCCTAATCCCAGCAGCAATAATCTTCAACCTCAACTTCCCTAAAACTCCTATTGTCACGCCCTAAACCCAAGGACGGAGATACTTCCTGCAGGAATACACCCTAATCCTGGATCCACCCTGGTGATTGAGCAGGGTCACCTTTCTCAAACACACAAGCAAGGTCACAGCAAATTTCCAAGGCAAGTCCATTTAACATGGGGTACACTGGCAAGGATACGATGCGTCATTCCTACTTGGTAATGGCCCTCAGCAACAGGGTCCAGCCCATTTGCTGCCCTGAGAGGTAGCCTCTGCCCTTCAGCACTGTGGGCGCTAGGGCCAGACATTTCTGGGTGCGTCCTGGGCACTGCAGGGTGCTGCGCAGTGTCCCTGACTCCACCCTCTCCAGGCCAGGACGCCCCAGTTGTGACGACCACACATGTCCCCAGATGTGGCCCGGTGTCTCTGGAGGAAGCACAGCCCCTGGTTAAGAGACCCCCATCTGTGATTATCCCTGACCTTGGAAACTTCAGGGGGAGATGCTCCTAGCGGGGTGCTGGGGGGACTGGGCAGCACACAGGGGCCACTCCACTTCAGTTTAAATAGTGCCTTGGGTCCTTTCAATGTGTATCAGAAGATTCAAGTTTCCATGATGAATGTCACGAAGTTTCCTCTTCAAATGAATTCAGTGCAGGTCAATCAAGTCAGTGGACCTGGAAGGAGAGGCGGCCAGGGCACAGKGAGGGGCTCCGGGGCCCAGCTTGCTCTGGGCAGGAGGGGACTGAGGCATCGAGAAGGTGAAGTCCAGGGCAGGCTGGGCTGCTGCCTCTGCTGGGCGTCTTCTCTGGGTGAGGGAGGAGGCAGAGGTGACGATGTCCCCCACTGCCTGCCACAGGGTCCCAGCACAGGGCAGGATAGGCCCAAGCCCGTCTCAGCCCTGGCCTGGAGTCCTAATTGTGCCTTTTACGGTGGCCTTGGATGAGAGGCTCCATCTCCCCGTCTGCAACAAGGAGCCGAGCTGGGGCGGCTCCGAGCTCCGCCAAACTCCAGCAGGTGGACACCTGCCTGGGCTCCTGGGCCATGGGGGTGGCCCGGCCTGGCTCCGCCCCTCCAAGAACCACAGCACCACTCCAGGCTCCTGTACCCGGTGCCGCGTGGAGCCCCATTCCTGCCCCGATGGCTACACCTGGGGGTGCTTGTGGCGGTGGAGGGGGCCTCGGTGGCAGGTCCCTGGGGGTCCTGAGCGCTGGCTGTGTTCAAGCGGAGGACAGACAGGTCATGGAGCTTCCTGCCACACTTGGGCGACCTCTGGGCCCTGGCTTTGCTCTGGGCACTGACAGGGACTGTTCCTGCAGATGCTTGGGAAGCCGGGGGGCCAGATGGGGCGGGCTGAGCCGCCTGGCCAGGCTCCTTGATGGGCAGGCCGTGGGCTGGCACTGGGCAGGCGGAAGTTCAAGACCTCCGCTCACTCAGAGCCCTGGGCAGGTCAGTTTCCCTCTGTGCTCGGCCACCCGGGGCGTGGAATCATCTGGCCTCGCAGCACAGCGGGCCCGTGTGGGGGAGCAGCCCGGGGGACGCAGGACGGCGGTCAGGGCAGTGAGGCCCTGTGAGGGCCGGGGCAGGCGGTGGTCCCCAGGTGCTGCTCCGATTTCGTTTTAAAAATCTGATGAAAGATCCACAGTGTGACATCAGCCATCCTGGCCAGGTCCAGAGGCCGGGTCCCAGCCCTGGCACAGCCACRCGCGGCCACACAGCTGCCCACTGGCCACCCCCAGAGTGTTCCCATGGACCCAGGCTGAAGCTCTGTCCCCTCAACACCAGCCCTGCCAGCCCAGCCCAGCCGCTTCCTGGGTCCCCTCTGTGTCTGACTCTCCCCCCACGGGGCACCGCCAGGCCACCCCTGTTGGCCAGGGTCACATTGGCTTCCCGTTTGCTTTCTGCAGCGGTGGGAGTGGGAGCCRCGGCAGCCTGGGGCATGTCAGGGAAGCACCGTGCTGGCCTCTGCACCTGGCCCTGCTCTTCCTGCGGAGGCTGATGCTCCAGGGGTGGACAGGCCACGGGTGCTGCCCTCGCCACCTTTGGGCTGCTGTGGGTCATGGGTGAACATGGCCTCCCAACATCCCTTTGAGACCCTGCTCTCCAGGGTTGGGCAGGGCCCCAAATCAGGCCCGCGGGGTCACATGGGGTCTCGCGTGGCGCAGGTTTCTAGGGACCACTGGGCTGACCTCCACACATGCCGGCCATCGTCCACCTCCGAGCCTGTCATTCCGTGGTGGCTTTCTCCTTCTTTTAATGACCCTGACCGGGCAGGGCTCCGGCTGCCCCAGAGCCACTCCTCTTATGGCCCTGTCCCACCCGGACTATTTTGGGCTTTGTGACCAGCAGATCAGCCTCACCCCGCTGCGTGCCTGTGGCAAAGGGCAAGGCTTGGCAAACCCCCCAGGTCCCCTTCTCCAGGCCACTCCCAACTGCCTTCCCCTGGGGCTGCTGCGGCGGTGGCCCCCGGCGCTGGGTCTTACATACCCTCCCAGCGGTCAGAGAGGCAGGTGGTCAGTGGTTTTGACCCTGTAGAGCAGAGAGTCTGGTCGTCATAGTAACCGTCGGCTCCTGTGGGTCTGTTCCAATAAAACTTTATTCATAGGCTCTGAAATTTGAATTCCATCTAATTTGCATGTGTTGGAAATTTCAATTTTTTTTTTTTTTAAGAATTTTTTCCCTTGATCATTTAAAAATGTAAAGCCAGTAGCTCGGTGGTAGAGAACTTGCCAAGCACATGTGAAGCCCTGGGTTTGATTCCCAGCACCACACACGAAAAATAAGTAAATAAAAAATAAGTAACAAAACTGCATCTAGGTGGGGTGGCCACACGTGCCACCCCAGCTGTGTGGGAGGCTGGGGCAGGAGGATCGCAAGTTCAAGGCCAGCCTCAGCAACTTAGCAAGATTCTGTCTCAAAATAAGAAATAAAAAGGATGTGGCTCAGTGCCAGGCTCTTGCCCAGCGTGCCTGTGGCCAGGGCTCCACCCCAGGACAGCAAAACCTTCAGATCGACCCACCCACCAAACCCCTGAGCCCAGTTTATTAGCGAGAGTGCCATGTACTGTTACTTGATTTACCCTAAAAGTTGAAAATACCATTGAGCAAAACCCGAGTCACACTGTGTGCATGGTTTTTGGTTTGTCAAGTCCTGAAGGATGTCCTAAAGGGTTGTGTGAAGACGGTTAATACCCACGTAATGTGTCCGCTCAATGTGTATAATTCAATTTTTTTTTTTTTAGTATGTTCATCTGGTTGTGCCACCATCACCACCGCCAATTCCAGAACCTTCTATCACCCCAAAAGGAGACCCTGCCCCATGAGCAGTTCCCCATCTCTCCCCAGCCCTGCACCCCCAAATGCACGTCCCGTCTCTGGACTCCCTGTCCTGGACTCTCCTGTCCCTGGGTCACACACTGTGGCCTGTGTGTTGGCTCTCACTGAGCACCAGGTCCTCAGGTCTGTCACCTGGCTCCTGCTGTGCGTGGCCACCTGGGCAGGAGTGCTTGGTTGCCTGCCCCTGGGGACTCTCGGGACCCTCCTGGCATGGTTTGCTGGAGACACCAGTTTCCAATATCTCCTTCCTTCTGTGCTGCTGGGAGGGACCCCAGGGCCCTGGGCATGCTGGGAGGGCTCTCTGCCCCCTGACCCAAGCCCCATCCCTTCTGTCCTTCCGCGTGTGTCCAGGAGTGGCCTCGCTGGGTCACGTGGTGATGGGTTCTCTCCCTTCTTTCCCCACTTCTTGACTTTGTCCAAACATGTCTGACTGCAGGGGGTTGGTGGCCTCTGGCCTGAGGCGGCTGTGTCTGCATTTCTGCAGATGGCCACAGGGTGTCACCCTCAGGTCGAGGGGCACCTCACCCTGCCACCCCTCAATCCTGGTCTCCACCGGTTTCCAGACCCTTTGGGCAGAGCTAATGGCATCTGGAGAGGGGCCAAGCCCTGCTCCTCAGGGTGCCTGCGCCCCGGTTCCGGTTCCGGGTGGAGTGGTCTAAGTGGTTCAGGGCTCCAGGGCTTGGGCAGGTGAGCTCCGTGGGGAGGGGGCCGGCCCAGGGCAGGAAGTGTGGCTTCACGGGGGGCTTTACGGGGGGCTTTGGGTGGGGGAAGATTCTGCCTAATCCTTAGAAGTAGGTATTGGCTTAGCCTCAGGGGAGGACAAGGACAGGCAGGAGCTGGCCCTGCCCAGGGAAGGGAAGCCCCTGGCCAGCTCTGAGCCCAGCTGTGGGCTGACGGTCCACAGGAAGTTTGGCATTTGGAACAGGCCCCCCGGGACCCCAGGCAGCCCACCAGGGCCCAGGGGCAGGGCTCCCACCAGGCAGAGACCATCAGTAGCCAGGGCTCCCGGCACTGCCCCGGGGTCCTCCCGGCCCTTGAACAGAACACACTGCCCYGGATTATCAAAACAGGACGGGGTTTAATCCTCAGGCTGGGGTGAGGGGGCAGGGCCGTGGGGGGCTGGGCCCCAGAACCCAGGCGCCACCTCGAGGTGCACCACACCCCCAGTACAGACGCCCAGAGGGTCGGCAGCCGGGCCCCACTCCGCAGGCCTGGCCTCCTGTGGCCGGAATCGCAATCCCTCCGGCCCGCAGGGCTGCGCAGCGCCTAGCCGCGGTTCAAGAGCGAGTTCTGAATRTCCTCCAGGGCCTCGCGGAGCAGCTCCTCACGCGGCTTCGTGCCGTCCAGGTACACTGAGGGGGGAGGGCCACCATCAGAGCTGCTGCTCACTGGGGCTGCTCCAGGAGGGAGGTGACCCGTGCAGGGGAGGCAGCTGACCGCAGAGTCAGGCTGCCGGAGAACACACTGGGGATCAATGGCAAGAGGGACTGAGGAAGGACTTCAGGAGGGACTTCCAGGTTTCCCAAAGGGAGTGCAGAGGAAAGGGCTGAAGGATGGGAGAGGCTGGGCTCTGAGCCCCGCCGGGCCGGCCTTGTCCGGCTCAGGGACTTACCCACGTCCACGCCGTGGGCCTCCATCTCTCGTTTATACTTCTGGTACATGGGCCACACGTGGCCATCAAAGAGGCCTGGAGGGTCCGGGACGGTGTAGGTGCGGGTGCTGCAGCGGGAGGCCACAAGACAACAGCTGTGTCACAGAGGGCGGGCCAGGCACACACCTGGGCCCCGGACCCAGGCCACGGAGGGACCCAGGCCACGGAGGGACCCAGGCCACGGTGGGACCCAGGCCACGGGTGGAGAGGCCCTCCCGAGGGGGGACCCCAGGGCAAAGCTCCAGCTTCCCGCATGTTCGCCCTGAGGACGCGGGGACTGCGGGCAGGTGCACTGTCCAGGTGTGGGTTCGGGCCTCTGGGACACAGCGCCCGTCAGTGCAGCTGGCCCGGGAGGCCTCAGGACCAGCAGGTGTTTCTGGCTGGTGACCRTCCCACCCAGGGACCAGGACAGGTCCTGCCGCTCACCTCCTCCTCCACTTGCACTCTTCATAGGGGACAGTCAGGAAGTATCTGCGGCTGTACAAGTCCACCAGGGGCCTGGGCAGAGGGTGGGGACATGGTCAGCACCTGTGAGTGGCTTCCAGGCACTTTCCTGGTGGTGAGGGCTGGGGTGGGTCTGAACCCATTGACTTAGGGGTCAGAGAGGGACCTGGAATTGGCCAGCATCTCTGCGGCAGGCCCTCATGATAGAATCACCCCACTCTTTCAATTTAGGTGGGCACAGAGAGGTACACTGCATTGCCCAAGGTCACACAGCAAGGCTGAAAGTCCAGCCCTGGTTGTGGCTCTGCCAGAGAAGGCTGAGGTTCTAGATGATTCTCTCCTGGGTCTTCTGTCACAATGAATTGTGGTGGGACCCAGCCCTGGGGGAACAGGGTGGGGGCGTACTCATAGCTGTAGAGCAGGAAGCCTTCCAGGAGAAGGATGTGGGTGTCCGGGGCGCCTGGCTGGACGTTGACCCCGTGGGCGCGGGCGAACTTCTGAGGGTTGCTCAGCCAGGCCCGCACGGTGCTCAGCATGGCCTCCATGTCCAGRGACTCCAGCACTGGGGACCAGAGCGCAGGGTCAGGGGAGGCCAGGGCCCAGGGACCATGGGGGACCGTGGGGACGGGGGCAGCGTCGTCCTTACCGTCCCATTGTTTGAAGCCGTCCTCCCCAACCGCTATTTGGTCTTGGGGCTGAAACAGAGGAGCCCGAGCCACAGGCTCAGTGCTCGCTCTGCCCGGCCGCTCTGCCTGGGCCCAGTGGGTCCCCTCACCCATCCCCGCTCCCCCCCACCCTCCGCAAGGCCCTTCTGCAGACGGGAAGGTGGGGGTGCGGCAGGGTCAAGGGTGCGTGGCGGAGCCTCGTGGTCCCGGGCTGGACCCGGCCGCCGCTCTCTGTGGGCCGCCTGGGGCTCCCCRAGCAGGGGCGGGTGCTGGGCCCACAGGGGCCCAGAGCGCCCTCCCAAGCTCTCCGCCCAGGGCCACCTGAGGCTGGGCAGGACTGGCACCTGTGTGCGGCCCGCGTGGGCCCTGGGCAGCAGAGTGTGGGGGTGCAGGGCCTGGCTCCCGCCCTGTCCTCCGGGCCAGGAGGGCTACCTTAAAGAAGTCATCCTGGTGAATCACGCAGCAGTTGGGCAGTGAGCGGTGGAGGCCGTTGGCCAGAGTGGTCTTGCCGCCGTTGGTCATGCTGTGGAGAGAGTGCGCTGTGGACCTGTCCCCGAGAAGCCGGCCAGGCCAGGGAAGGACAGACACTCGCCACAGAAACACTAGCAGCTCACTCCAGACCCCGAAGAGGGCAGTGGGCTTGTGACCATCCCGGGGCCACCTCGTCTGTGGCCAAGTGCAGGAAGAGAAATGGGAAGACCGGGCCTACGATGGGCGCGGTGGCCTGCCGTCCTCCCCCGAGCTGAGGCGGGAGGACCCGCGTTCCAGGCCAGCCTAGCCAGGCAGGGAGACCCTCCCTCACTCCACAGGGCTGGTGTGGCGCAGGGGACAGTGCTGGCCCAGGATGGGCCGGGCCCTGGGCTCCGACCCCAGTGCTGGGGGGAGACGGGAGCAGGGATTGTCACAACAGGGTGACCTGCTTGTCCTGGTGTGCCTGGGGGTTTCCTGGTCTCAGCACTGAGCATCCCAGGACAGTCCTGAGGACACTGGGTCAGTGGGTCACCCCGTGGCAAAGACAGGTCATCTTGACTCCCAGGGGTGACTGAGGACCATCGGGGTGACTTTCAGGGCTTCTCTGGAAATCAGTGACAGTCTGTAGCGCTGTCCCTGTTCTGGGGTGTTGAGGTATAAGGTTGGATGTGGGGGTGAGGAGGGCTGGCGGGAAGGGGGACCCCTCATGCTAAAAGAAGCAGCAAACTGATTACTGCCCTCCTCAATCAGCTCGGGCCCTGAGGGCCCCTGTCCAAAGACCCCAGGAGGGTCAGGAGGGGGCAGCAAAGCCCACAAACAGCGCTGGCCCCAGGGGTGGCCGCAGAGCCTCCTCCCACACGCTGAGTGGCCCAGGCTGGCGCACCTACACCACGGCTGCCCCTTGGCCCACAGCCCACCCGGAGAGCTGAGCGCTTTGCCCTGGGGGACCTTTTCCTATTCTTCTCACCGATTTGTGCTTTTCACCCTGAGGATATTTGGAGAGGGAAGCCCGGCACTGCACCCAGCCTTTGGCCACCTGCTGGGACGCTCACCCTCCACGCAGRGACCCCGGGGCCCAGGCCTCGCGGTGACGGGGGTCCATTCATGAGCAGCCTCCCGGCCTCCCGCCTCGGCCTCCCGCCTCAGCCCCTGAGGGCCTTGCTCACCCTCCGATGCCCACGATGAGCTTCATGTTGGCGCACGGAGGGCGGGGACAGCGCGGCCGGGCTCCCAGGCAGCGCAGCTGGGCACGACCTGCCTTCGGCGTGTCCCGGCTTCATTGAGAAAACCCGCCGCCTTTATAGGCCCCGCAGCCCGGAGGCCGCCCCGGGGGAGGCGGCCGGGCGGGGGCGGCGGCACCTGTCCCCCGCGATGGAAATAGCCCGGAGCTGCCTTTGCCTAAATTAGCCGCGGGCTGCGCGGGTGCGCGCGGGGCTCGTCCCCTCTGCGCGCCCCCCTCCCCGCTCCTGGCCGCGGCACGGTCACCGCCGCACTTTCCCTCCCTAAAAATATCATGCCGCTGTGTGTCCCCTGGCCTGACCCTGACATTAAGCCGGCTTCTCTGACGCCAAGGAAGGGGAACCGAGCCTGCTCCCCGCTCTGTCCCCAGCCACGGGGCGCGGGCTTCCTTTCCCAGGGGCCCATCASGAGACCCCGGCCAGCAGGACGCGGGGCCATTCCTCACCCTGCTGATCCCGCGCCTCCGGTAAGGGAAGGAAATGGGCCTGACCCTTCTTCAGCAGGCGAGGCCGGGCGCAGGGGCCACCCCCAGGACTGGAGGCCAGCCTCAGCGCTTCTCAGACCCCGGCTCAAAATAAAAAACAGAACGAAGAAGAGCAGGGGCAGCTCGGCGTTAACCCCGCCCCCCACGGCCACCTCGGCCAGGGAGGGGAGGGGGAGGGGACCCCTAAACTCAACAGAGGGAAAGTGGGGTTCAGAGCCCAGGAGGGAGTTGGGGGCAGGAGGCAGTGAGGAGGGCAGAATAGTTCCAGCAGATTCCAGTGGGCTCCTGCCCAGCACGGGGGTGGGCGGTGGGGTGTGGGGGAGGGGGCATCAGAGGCCCAAGGGGATCCTGGCTGGACCCACCTGGCGGGCTCTTGCCTGAACGGAGCCTAAGCACAAGGTCAGGCTGGGCACCGGAGCCCCACGGAGGTCTGCCCGAGGGCACAGCCTGCCACCTTCCATGTGTGGACGGCCACGGAGGGCCCACAGGGCCAGACAGCCCCACCCTGGCCCAGACCACAGGTCTGGAATGTCCCCAGAGGCCSGTAGGGGGCCTGGTCTTCGGCTGGGCACTATTGGGAGGTGGTGGAGCCTTTCCTGGGGGCCACCTGGGAGGGGATGCGGGCCTGTGGCTCCCTGCTTTCTCCCTCTGCTTCCYGGTCCTGGTGGGAGCTGCCCAGTGGTGCCCTGCCCTGCAGCCCACCGRGAAGGCTCTGAGTGTGCCCGGGCTGACCACTTCTCCGTGGTTAAGTGCTGTGTGAATGTCGAGGTCCTGGGACCTTTTCCTGCCAGTCAGGGGCAGCGGGGTGGAGATGGCAGGAGGGTGGGAAAGGCAGGCTGGTGTGCTGAGGTGACAACAAATCCCACCAGGGCTGGGGATGTGGCTCAAGCGGTAGCGCGCTCGCCTGGCATGCGTGCGACCCGGGTTCGATCCTCAGCACCACATACCAACAAAGATGTTGTGTCCGCCGAGAACTAAAAATAAATATTAAAATTCTCTCTCTCTCACTCTCTCTTTAAAAACAAACAAACAAACAAAATCCCACCATTAGGACAACTGTGATGCACCAATTTTAAAACGTGGAGAAAAAGTAAAAAAAAAAAAGAAGGCTGTGTCTGGCTCTGAGGATGAGGAAGGGACTCTGGAATTTGGATGAGGTGGAGTGGACCCTCCCTGCAGCTCAAGGGGGACCCGCCCTGCCCCACAGCAACCGTGTGGAGCTCAGGGAGGCCAGTGAGGGAGGGACTGTCATCACGGGGAAASGGCCAGCCATGCTCTTCTGCAGGCAGGGCCCAGGCGACCCCAGGTGCCACCGGTGCCTTTCCTGTGCCGGAGGTGGCCGCTTCCCGCTCAGCCCCGMGAACCACGCCGAGGTCAGCTGACCCGGGAGGCTCTGCCTGGTCAGGCCAGCCCTCCCGTGCCACGACAGTGGGCAGTCTCAGACGACGACCGGAGGGAGCGCTCCGCACGGGACAGCGCGCAGCTCCCTGCCCCTGGCTTTGCGCGACCTGGTCCGCAGCTCCCTGCCCTTGGAGCCCGGGAGCCCGCCGGGCGTCTCGCTGCTGGACCCGGGCTGGGTTCCCGTTACTGACCTCAGGGTCCCTAGAAGGGAAAAGGACCTACTTTGTGTGGAAACCGGGAACGTGGCTGCGGCGCGCACGCGCAGTCCACCGCGGCGCTGCCCCGCCCCGCCCCTCCCTGGACACACCCCTGACGGCGCCTGGTGGGAGAGGGCYGCCAGGCTTCTGAGCTCAGCCGGCGCCCACCGACCGCGGGCTGCTGTTCGAGGCCGGGCAGGACAACAGGGCACGGAGGAGAAGTGTTTTCAGCAGCTGCAGGGTTCTCGGGCCTGCGCCGAGCTGGGCACACCCGCGCTGGGGAAGCTGGTGTTGACCTTCATACGTTTATTCCCCTTGATGCTGCCGCGGAGCCCAGGACCTCACACACGCTGGGCAAGTGCTCCGCCACCGACCCGCACCCCAATTTTTTTTTGAGACAGGATCTCGCAGAGTTGCCCAGGCTGGGCTTGACCTTAGGGTCCTCCTGCCCCAGCCTCCTGGGATGACAGACATGGCCACCCCCAGGTTGAGTCTTAGATGTCATCACAAGGCGCTTTATAAGAGGAAAGCTTGGCAGATGTGGAGGACAGGTAACAGTGGAGGTGGGGACAGTAGTGATGTGTCCACAGGCCAGTGGRTGCCAGAAGTCCCCAGCAGCCRGGAGAGGCAGGAGGGACCCGCCCCTGGAGCCCTGGGAGGGAGCCCCACCCGCACACCCTGCACTCTGGTTTGCAGCCCTCGGTGGGAGGTCACTTGTTGGAGCAGTGTCACTGTTGGGGCGTCCCCAACAAAGGATTGAGCCAGACCTGTGGGAGTAACGGGCGGAGCRCAGGTCCACCGAAGCTGGAGGGGTGGCGCTCAGGAGGCGCAGCGGAAAGGCCAGCGAGAGGGGCGGAGGCCCACGTGGGCATCTCCTGTCCTGCGCGCTGGGCAGACCTGACTGAAGACCGMGTCCCACCAAATTCTTGTCAGTTATCATGAGCCATGAGCCCTCCTGGCGAGAGYTGTCACGGTGACGGACACCGTGACTCAGGTCCAGTCTCATCCTCCACTACCCTGCCTCCCATCACGGAGACCCTGAACTCCAACCTACAGCCAGAGACGGCCCAGCTTCCTGGCTGCTGGGCTCCCAGCTCAGCCAGGCCTGGCCCTCCCGACCTCGTCCTGCCAGGGCCATGGCAGCTCCCAGTCCCTCCCACCCCTGCACAAAGCCCTGGCTTCCACCCCCAGCGCCACAAAGAACAAAACCACCACCCAAGCCACCCCCAAAGGACACTGGCCCTCTCTTGTGCCTGGGAGCTGGGCCGTGGRCACTCTCAGAACAGGGCGGCTCGCAGGGTGCTGGTCATGAAAGGAGCAGAGCTGCCCACTGGGCACCGGCTGCAGTTCACAGGTGACAGACACCCTGCCCAGCTGCCACCTGGCAACCAAGGCCCAAAGCCCCTTTTGGAGTGGTGAGAATGTTCCAGAACTAGATGGCTGCGTGTTGTACAGGTTCTCAGTGCCACCGCACGTGCTCCYGGGGTTGATTCTGCCTGGCACCGTGGCACACGCCTTCATCCCAGCCACTTGGGAGGCTGAGGCAGAAGGATCACAAGTTCAAGGCCAGCCTCAGCAACTTATCGAGGCCCTGCCTCCAAGTAAGAGCTTCGAGGGTGGAGCTCAGACGTAGAGCTCCCCTGTGTTCAATCCYGGGTACAAAAAAAGGTCACTTTTAGGTTGAGTGACTCTCACCTCAATTGCAAAACCAGCCTAATCCTGAGCTGGGCTGACTCTCAGGCCCCCCGCAGGGCCCCTCTCCACCTTGCTCTGYGGGCTCCCCCAGCCCCTTCTGCCTCCAGGCCTGGTCCTGGGTGGCCCCCCACCCCTGCAGCCCCCCACCTGCTGCGGGGCACCCGCCCCTGACCCAGCAATGCCAGCCCTCGGGGGGACTTTTCACCCAGCATCCCAGGATGCTCCTCAGGGTGAGCCCACACTGCCTGTCCCCACCCCCTACCTGGCAGAGATGGGTGACTGCTGCCTCGGTACCTCTGTCACCCAGAGTCCTGGACCTGCAGCCAGCAGACGCCAGGCCTCAGGGCTGCCCACTGAGGGAGGGGACGGCCACTGGAGGTGGGAGAGGGTCAGACCTCAGACTCACTCCTCACCGTGCGTGTGACCCTGGGCAAACCGTGCCACCTCTCCCTGCCTCGTTCCTCCTCTCAGTCACACGGGGGCTGTTACCCATGTTGGCTACCGTATTGGTCATCATTATTTTTGGTGCTGGGGATGGAACGAGGGCCTCACACATGCCAGGCCAGCGCTCCATCGCTGAGCTCGTGCCAGCCTTTTTTTTTTTTTGGTACCAGGGATTGAGCTCAGGGGCCCTGGACCACTGAGCCCCACCCCAGCCTATTTTGTACTTTATTTAGAGACAGGGTCTCACGGAGTTGCTGAGCACCTCCTGTCTCAGCCTCCCAAGCCACTGGGATGATAGGCGTGCACCACTGCACCCGACCCCAGCCCTTTTTATTTTATTCTGAGACAGAGTCTCACTAAGTGGCGGAGGTGGAGGCGGAGGCCTCCTCCAACTGGCATCCTCCTGCCTCAGCCTCCGGCATGGCTGGGGTGACAGGCGTGGCCACCTCACCAAACCTGTGATTGTTTTTTCACCCACTGAATCGGTTTCGTTCCAGAGAGGCTTGGGGCCAGAAAGCACCTGGCGTCACAGAGAGCAGAGCCAGGGGCCTGGGTGCACCTCGGGGGCCGCCCTGCCGATGGGCAAGAGAGCAGAAGCCTGCGGGAGCCGGGCCTTCGGGGGCTCCTCCCTCCACCCGGCCCCTGCACTGCCCACTTTCCCTCTGGACACACACAGGCCGGCCCTCCCCTCTAGGTCAGAGTTTATTATGTCCCACAACCCCCCCGAGCTCATGGAGATGACGTCTTCACATCACGACAGCGATCATGGTCACTTCTGTTTAAGAATCACAAAACTCGCCTTCAGAGGGTGCACGTGCGAACGGCCACTCTCAGGTCACAAGAGAGGAAGCCAACGTCCCCTCACAGGGAGGCCTGGGTCCACTGCCTCTCAGCCACGCTGCTCCACCGCCAGGCCCAGGTCCGGGCGGCGTGTCCTGGATGGGGCCTGCGCCCGGGGCCGTCCAGACGCACCTGGCCACAGGTGGCCCCGGAGATGCGGCCTCCCGCTCGCCGGGCCTTCTTCCCTCTGGAGGGTCTGCTGTGGCCAGGAGGGGTCCTSGGCCACTCGCCTGTGGCTGCTGGTGATCCGAGGGGCGGTGGGTGCACGGGGCAGAGCCCGGGCCCCTGGAGGCGGATGGGCCTCCCTCACGCCGTCGCCCGCCGCTGTAGGCACTGGTTGTGGGAGGATAGAACGGGCCCGTTCTGTCCCTGGCTCCTTCGTCCCGCTGGGGGAGAACCCGGTCTTCAGTGAGGAAGAGGCTTGGGGGTCACGGTCCTGATGGGCCAGGAGAGTCACCACAGGCAGCCTGCCCTGGTCATCCGGACTGAGCCGTGGTGGCTGCGTGGCATCTGCTGGGGCCTCCGGGAAGGGCCTGTGCCGTCCTGCCCAGGCTGTGGGGACGCACCCGGCTGTGGGGGAGCGGGGCCTTCCGGGCCTCCTGTGGCTCTTGCTTTGCGGGGACCACCAGCAGAGCCCCGGGACCAGGTGCGGTGGGAAGAAGGGCTGCCCTGTGTGGTCAGTGAGGGATGGCCCCCGGCAGCAGGGTCTGGGGGCAGCCGACAGAGGCCTGTCTCTTGGCAGCAGCCACCTCAGGCCCCAGGTAACATGTCTTTCCTGGGACACCATCACTGTCCTCGTCCTTTATCTGACACCTAGGAAATGGCGATTTAAACCTCTCCATCCCCCAGGGTCCAGCCTCCCTAGGTCAGAAGTGGGTGTCCCCCAGGAGTGTCCCCGGCACAGCACAGTCGCTCGTGACGGGCTCCCAGGCCCATCGCCCCTCAGAAACTCCATCGTCCCCAGGTGGGACATGCTGGCGTGAGGGACAGGAGGCCGAGGCCACTGTCCCACATGGCATCTCGTTGTGCAGCCCTGCCGAGCGGCCGTGACCACCACGGTGCCCTGGACAACGTGGGAGTAACCAGACATGCCCCTGCTGGGCCAGGTCCACACCCGCTGGACATTCCACCGGGCCAGATCACCTGGACATCGATGGCACTTGCTGACGCGCCCACTGCGGAGGTGCCTGCTGGACTTTTGCTTGGGTTCATCGGGGACAGAGACACGGCCTGGAGGGCCAGCGGGGGCCACTTTCCGCAGACAGCAGACGCTGYGGGTCCTGGGCTTGCGGACCCTCCTGAGGCCTGGCCCTGGCAGGTCTGTCCATCTTTCACCAGCCAGACCCTGGCTCCCTGGGGGAGGACCAGGTCCGAGCTGGGAACACGGGTGCCCCCGCTCAGCGCCCTGGGACTTATTTCCCACCGTCTTCAGAAGCCGCGGTCTCGGGCCTCCTCCTGCAGCCTCCTCCTGCAGCCTCCTCTCCCAGGTCTGCACTTCCAGAACCCGCCTGGCGCAGAGCTGGCTTCTCTGTCCTCAGTGGGAAGCCTGTGGGGTGTCCCCACCCGGCCCGGGGGTCAGGCCAGGGAGGGGGCACAGCTTGTCCCCTTGGAAGGAGGTCCTGGCTGGATGCCCTGTGGCGTGGCGATCCAGTTACAGGGCGTGAGCGGGTTCTGATGGAGGCCGGTGGGTTTTGCCGCTGGACGAGGCTCGTCCATCGGTCGCCGTCTCACTCATGCGATCAGCTCAGCGTCTCCCAGGGAGAGGGGGTGTCCTTGGAGGTGACAGGGGCAAGGCGAATGACAATCCAGGGGTGTGAACTGGGAAGTGAGGCTGAGGTCAGGCGAGCCGGGGTGTCTGTGGCTCCAACCTGGACCACGTCAGGGACAGAGGGACCTCCACCTGTGCCCAGCACTGGCCAGGGCCAGCTAGGACAGCAAGAGGTGTCCTGTAGCCCAGGCCTGGGGCAGGGCAGGGGTCACCAGGGCCCTCTGGAAGCGGGAAGAGCCGAGAGCCGGACCTTCTCCGGACACGCTAGCATGGCCTCGTTTTTAAAAAAATAAAGTAAAATGTTTTGAAGCAGCTGAAGAGGGGCTGGGGTTCAGAGGTGGTGGGGACAGGGGCGGCCGGGGACAGGGACGGGCGAGCAGGTCCGGGCTGGAGGGCGTCGGACGGGTTTCTTGGCATCCGGAATCTTCTTTGTCTTCTCCACGCTCAGCCGCCTCAGGACAAGCTGGGGACACACACAGGCCAGCTAAAGTGGAGAAGGCCCTGCCCCGGTGTGRGGTCCAGAAGGATGACCCCTGCCCAGCGCCTGTCTAGCAGGAGTGGCTTCTGCTCTTCAGGGCAGGTCACCTGCCACCCACCCACCCATGTGGCTTTGACAGGAGCCTCCCTCCTGGTGCCCGAGCAGAGGAGCAGGTCCCAGGGACTGCGGTCCTCGTCCAGAGTGGACAGAGGTGTCCACCCACCCTCCTCCACCCCTCTACCCACCCTCCCACCCACTGACCACCCGCCTATCCCTGTGCATCTGCCTGTCCTCCTTCCTTCAACATCATCGACTGTCCACCAGACACTCTCTGGGGATTTTGAAGATGAGGACACGTTTAAAAGTATAAAAAGGCAAAAGAAGGACTCGTAAGAGTGATGGGTCGGTGACGTCACCTGGTCACGAGCAACCTGCCCGTGTGACTGCACCCCTGCCGTCCAGGGCAGGGTGATGGGCTTGGGTGACCACTGCCCCGCACTCCCGGGGCAGCACCCCTCGCCCCCAGTAAGCCGTGCTGCAGCTGTCGCGAGGCTGGGCTCCACTCAGAACCCTCGGAAAAGGTCACCAATCACCCAGCGTCACACCCACCTCGTTTCCTGATCCTCGGTGGCCAGGTCCGGCCTGTGGGGGAAAGGAGACTCAGTGCCATTTACCTGTCATCTGGTCAGGACTGGGGCCCACGGGGACTGACTCTGCCTGGCCTTGGTCTGGTACAGAGAGGTGTCACCTGCCGGGTGACAGATGAGCCAGGCCCCTCACTGCTGCCAGGAGTCCCCTAAAGCTGCTCGGGGCTCACAAGCCTGGGGAGGCTGAGTCTGTGCACCAGGACGTTGACAAGGCCACCTTCTAGAACCTTCTCTGAGAGCAGAACTGGGTCTCCTGGTGTGTGCTGATGCAGGGAGGAGGAGGGGACRGTCCCTGTCGGAGGCCCTGACCTTGGGAAGCCCCGAGGACAGAAGACGCGGAACAGGTGACCTGGGAGCTGCCTTAACTTGCTACACACCAACGTCCCTGTGAGCGGTCCCCAGAAACACGTGTGCCCGTCACCGGGCTTGGCTCCTGTGGCACTGGGGGACCATCTGGAAAGAGCCTCGGGCCCTGTGGCTGGCCCCTAGGCTGGGCCAGGCAGCCCCTGGGTGTCACCTGTCGCCCGTGGACACCTGCACATTTACCTGTCCTCCTCCGACGCTGCGTCTGCCCTCTCCTCAGGCCTGGGCAGGAGGAACTCTGGCTGGGGCCTCGCGCTGTGGACAGAGAGCGCCAGGTGACGAGGTGGCCAGCGGGCTGTGTGGCCCGGGCTGACGGTGGCCTGGGGACGGTTCAGGGTGGTCGTGCTGGGCCCGGGGTGGAGACGGGTGCACTGCTGTCCAGTAGGGGAGTGTCCTGGTCATTGACAGCCCTAGAAGTGGGCCTGAGGGGCCCCGGGGAGGAGGACCCTGGGCCCTGCCTTGGGGCGGGCCCTGGGTGGCTATTCCACAGACGCTGTGGCACCTGCGGTCATGAGAGGGTGGGTGCTGTCTCCTGTCCATGTCTCAGTTGAGGACCGGGCAGCACAGTTCACAGGGGAAGGTCAGGGGCAAGGACAGGTGGTGACCACACACACCAGGGCAGCACTGTGGGCAGGCCAGGAGCTGGCCTCACAGCGCTGGTGGCTGTGGCAGGGGGAGGCGGCAGGAGGGGCCTCAGGGGCCACACCGAGGGGCCCTGTGACCCTGTGACCCACAGTCCCACTGTGGGGACATGCTCAGAGGAGTGGACTGCAGGGAGGTGGACAGCCCTCGTGCCCAGGTGAGGGGCGTGAGGAGAGGGTGGCACCTGCTACCTGCCACCCCTGCTACTGGACCTGGGACGTGGTGTCCAGTGAGAGCCAGCCACAAGGGACCCTCTCCTGGGAGGTGCCTGAGCCTTGGAGCCATTGAGACGGGGGGTGGCCTGGTGGGCACCGGGTGGGGAGGCCCCAGCTGGTGTGGAGGGGACAGAGCCTCAGCCTGGGGAGACGGAGAGCCCTGGAGAGGGAGGGGGACGGTGCACGGCCCTGGGTCTGCCCCATGCCCTGAGCCGTGCCAGTTTTATGTTGTGTCCGTTAATCACGACAAGGACAGGCGGGAGGGGGAGAACCTGGGCCACCTGCCCTGCAGCCTCCCCTCCACGACAGGCACCAGCGTGCTCCTGGACAGTCCATCTGCCCAGGGCACTCCTCCATGGGGTCCTTCCCTCACCCAGTGAGGTGTCTCTGTCCTCTGCTATTTGGTCCAGGACTCTGTCATATTCACCTCTGCTCTCCCTGAGCCTGTCATGACACACCAAGAGCCCCAGCTCTCTCATGGACTTGCTGTGGGTCCTCGGGCAGGTGCCTCACCCTCTCTGAGCTTCCCTAGGCAACTCTCAGCGGTTGTGAAAGCATCCAGGAGATCTGTGTAAGTGGGAAGGGCTGAAACACTCCTGGAATTCTGTGCACACTGCTGATGGTTGTGCCTGTGTGGGGCGAGGGCAGGCCTGCCTTCCCTCTTCTGCAAAGGCAGAGCTCAGCCCCAGGGCAGCCAGGGTCGGGTGCTGAGCGTGAGCTCTGGTCACCCTCCCCGCCCAGGGGGCGCTTTACGCTGTTCCTGGCTTCCCAGAACACCCTCCAAGGTGCTTCTAAGTACTTCCCTAAAGCCACCCTGTGGCTGCGTGGGGGAGCGAGGACCCCACCTGGCCCACCACCAGGCCCTCCCCTGAGCCCAGCGTGGACCTTCCTGGGTCCCGCGGAGCCAGAGCCAAGAGGCCACCCCTCGAATGTCAGCCCCGGCAGCCCTGCACACACCTCTCTCTCCGCGCTCTGAGTCTTTCCTCTTCGTACCTGAAAGAAAGAAGCCGAGGTGGGTGCAGCCTGCTTCCCGGTGGGTTCCTGCTGGGGAGGGACCCTCTCGCGCTCTCTGTGCTGGGCTGGAGCCCGGGACTTTGCACATGCCAGCCGGTGCTCAGCGGGAGCCGCACCCCAGCCCTCTGGTTTGGGGCAGAGAAAGGGTCCTGTGGTTGTGGCTGCCCGCCCCGGGCTGCAGAGCAATAAGGAGCCCCGGAGCCCGCCGCTGGGCGGCCACCTGGCCCCGCGCCTCGCCTGCAAGACCCCAAGCGGGAGGGTCAGTTCCGCTGGCGAGTCCAGCCTCTGCACCAGGCCCCGGATGCTCGGGAGGCAGGGCCCACATCCAGCTCCACAGTCGTTCCCTGTGAAGGGCCCCGATTGCGAGTTCCCAGCTTCAAGCCCCAGGCAGTCTGTTCCGACTGCCCCACGCGGCCACCACCGCAGAAATGCAGTCACCAGTGACTGGTGACCCTGGGGTGTGCCGCCATGTCAATACAACTTTATTGATGGGGCTGGGATGGTGGCTCGTAGGTAGAGCGCTCGCCTAGCACGGGCGGGACCCGGGTTCGATCCTCAGCACCACATAAAAATAAAGGTATGGTGTTGTGTCCATCTACACCTAAAAAATAAATTAAAAAAAAACTTTATTTATAAAAATAAGCAGAGGAGCCAGGCACGGTGGTGCATGCCTCTCATCCCAGCAGCTCTGGAGGCTGAGGCAGGAGGATCCTGAGTTCAAGGCCAGCCTCTGCAATGGCGAGGCACTGAGCAACTCAGTGAGACCCTGTCTCTAAATAAAATATATAAAAAAAGGGCTAGGGCTGGGGCTGGGGCTCAGTAGTTCAGCACCCCTGGGTTCAATTCCTGGTACAATATAGAATGTCATAGATACCTTTTTTTTTTTTTTTTAATGGTGCTGGAGATGCGCCCTGGGCCTCACACATGGCCAGGTGAGCTCTACCACTGAGCCTCACCCCAAATCTTGGATGCATTTTCCATGATTAATGTCCAGGTTGCAAAAATATACTCTGAGCAGAGACCCAAATGTAACCATGGGGAGCTGATGCACACAAAGCCTGCTTCCTGCAGCGCTGGGGCCCAACGCGGGCTTTCGAGACTCGCAGTCTGGTCACCGTGTGACCTCAGGGAAGGACAAATTGTGATGGCCCCTTTGAGGTGCAGGAAGAAATCGGGATTTTTTAATGTGGCCGGTGGGAAGGGGACATGGGTCGGCTGCTGGGGAACCGAGCCGTGGTTCCTCCACAGCTGGACTCGGAGTCGCCTCCGAGTCTACTGCTGGGCCCACCCGTGAGAGCTGGTGGGGTCTCCAGGGAGCACGTCCAGGTCGCAGCCACGGGGTGCAGAGGCCGACACCCCCACCAAAGTGGGGCTCAGGGTGCGGCCAGCCACACACGGGTGTCCCTCGGTCTTAGCGGAAGGGCACCCAATGCCTGCTGCCCATGACGGACCTGGGACACGGTGCTCAGTGACACAAGCCATACAAGGGACACCTGGCAGCCTCCACCCCAGGGGATCCCTGGAGTCTCAGAGCCACAGAGAAGCAGCGTGGTGGGAGCCGGGCTCGGGGGACAGGAGCCAGGCTGGGGGGACGGGAGCCGGGCTGGGGGACGAGAAGCTCTGGAGGGGGTGGTGGGGACGGCCACTCAGCCCGAGACTGCCCCGGCCCCTGACTGTGCTTGGACATGGGCAACATGGTCAATTTCGTGGTCTGCGGGTTCACCACAGGAGCGCCGGGTGGCGTGGAGCCTTGGGGACCTGTTGACATCATTCTCAGTGAAAAAAGGGCCGGATGAGTGGCTTTCTCCCCATCCCCCGCACACCTGGCCGGACCCCAGGGGCTCCCGGAAGCAGAGCCTGGGGCGGGAGCCTGGGGCGGGGACCCCCCTCCCAGCGTGGGGGACACTCACTGCAGCACACACTCTGGGATCTGCACGTGCTCCATGGGGATCAGCTGCTCCAGGTCCTCCAGGCTGTGCACGTACTGGATCTTGCTGATGAACTTGACACTGCAGGACAGGGGTGGGGGCGTCTGAGTGCCCAGAGAGCCCAGGAGCCCTCCCCGGAGCCCAGCACTGCCCAGCCAGTGACGGGCTAGGGACTCCAGCGCTTTCGCTCCTCGGCCGATTTCCCCAGGGATGCTTTTCCTCGGAGGCGCTGCCCGCGAGGACACCATGGCCACTCGGGCATGGGAAGCGGTCACAGGCCTCTGCCTGCTCCTCCTCCTTTTCAGTGCTAGGAGCTGAGCCCACTGCAGAGCTGCCCCCGCCCTGTTTATTCATTTATTTTGAGATGGTGTCTGGCTGAGTCGCCTGGACTGGCCTTGACCTTGCGTCCTCCTGCCTCAGCCTCCGGTCACTGGACTGCAGGTGCATGTGCCAGCTGTCACAGCCCGTCCTGGGGACAGTGCTCGCTCGCTTCCTGTTGGAGCCTGGGCTCTGGCTGCAGGAACCCAGGAGGCACCTCATTGGCAGCTCGGGGCTCGGACTCATGGCTTCTTTGTTGTTTTTTTTTTTTTTTAATATTTATTTTTTAGTTCTCGGTGGACACAACATCTTTTGTTGGTATGTGGTGCTGAGGATCGAACCTGGGCCGCACACAAGCCAGGCGAGCGCGCTACCGCTTGAGCCACATCCCCAGCCCTTCTTTGTTGTTTTTTCTTTAATTAAAGCTAAATTTAAGAAACGCCATGAAAGCTTTTCAAGGTGACATAGCAAAGTCGTCACTGAGAACTGGGCTGCGGGAGGAAGGCCAGGCCCGGGCGGGCAGCTGCAGGGCTGTGTGTCTGGGCTTCTGTGTTTGGATGTCCCCTGGAAACGGCTCAGCTTCCTGGAGGGCTCTGGAGACAGAAGAACGCTGTCCCCAGCGGCGGCCCAGGGCCAGGACAGGAGCAGAACCTCTGCAGATGTTTCCTGGCCGTTGCTGAGTGGCCATCTGTGTCTCGGGGCAAGGAGGACGTTTCTGCGAACTTCAGATTTATTTCGCAATCTGAAAGCCCCTGGAGCAGTGTCCCAGGAGCAGAGTGTCTGTCCCAGGACCAGAGGCCCCAGCAGCCGGCATGACAGGGCCAAGGGCCACCGTGGGTCGGAGCTGGAGAGGCCGCGGCTCCGGCCATCTCGGCGCGCTCCCCCAGCGCCTCGGAGAGTCCTAGACCATCAGTCAGCACTACAGCCTGGAGCTGCTCCCCAGGCCGGCACCAGCCTCACAGTGACAGGGACACAGTGCCACCCCACCATCAGGAGCCGAGTCTCCCCCCCTGAGGGAACTGGGGGACATTCCACCAAGGCCAGGCGCTCAGTCCAGATTGACGGGACAGCGGGTCCTCAGCACCCTGGGCGCTCGGCCGCCTGCAGCTGCCATTCCGGGCTCCTGGCTTCTCCTGGGGAACTCTTGCGCCCACCATCTCCTCGGAGCCCCCAAAGAGACCCAGGAAAAGAAACCCAAAGTGACAGGATTGCCCCGTTAAAGGCCAAGGCCCAGCCAAGGCAGCCTGGGAGGCCCCCACCCTGGAGGGCACGCTCAACGCAAAAATAAACACACATTAGCATAATATGCTAATACACACGCAATCTGCATGTTATGCAAATGAAGGTGTGTGGATCAGCCCCAGGAGGGGCCCTGACAGGCCCTTGAGGCAGACTGAGCTGGGGGCGCAGGGGCAGGGCCGGCCCCTAGCTCCCCCAGAGCCCCCCTAACTCCCCCAGAGCGTCTCAGCATGAGACTGAGGGAGCTAAGGACCTGGGTTGAATTCAGTGTCTGAATTAAGTCAATTGAACCTGCACGACGTCGCCCAGGGTCATTCGGCATTTAACACACTTTCTCAGCAGACCTGGGGCGCTGGGTCCAAACAGTCCCCAGGAGGGTGACCTGGGGGCCCGGGAGCGTCCCATCTGGTAACAGGTCTTTGTTGACTGGGGGCCATGAGTCCTGACACAGGGTCCCTGCTAAACATGGGACTCGTGGGACCCTGGCGGAGCTGGAGTCTGGCCAAGGTCAGCCCCACAGGGGTTCTGCCTTGTGTGCATGGGCCCCCGACAACAATCCTGGGTGCCCCATTGCTGGGAGAATGAGGAGGGTCCCCGGGTGACCCCCAGAGGGGACACGGGCTGCGTGGGCTCTCCGGGGCCTCCTCCCGTCTTCTCTCGGGTTTTCATCTGTATCTTTTGCTGGACTGAGGGGGACTGAGCACAGCAGCTGACTGAGACTGGGGCAGTGACAGCAGCCTCTCGGGTAACGGGTCGCAACTGGTGAGAAGTGCGCAGCGCTCAGCCTGTGGAGCCTCGGTGGCTGCCAGTCCCCCTGCCGGCCCACGCCCTGCCCGCACGCCCGTGTGGAGGTCTGAAGTGGGGCCAGGCACAGTGGCCGTGGCTGTCCTCCCTGTGGTTGGGAGGCCGAGGCAGGAGGATCGAGAGTCCAAGGCCAGCCTGGGCGACTCAGCAAGGCCCTGAGCAACTAAGCAAGACCCTGTCTTAAAATAAGACAAAAGGGCTGGGGTCCAGCCGGGCAGGGGCCCCGGGTCCACCCCAGTGCGGAAAACCAAACGAAAATACCAAGTGCGGGGAGGGGGGTGTTCCAGACTCCAGTCTTAAGGCCTTTTTGGAATATTTGCATATATAACGTGGGATCCTTCAGAGGGGCTCAAACACGGAATTCCCTGTGCTTCCTGTGCAACCCAGGCACGCAGCCCGAGGGGGATCTTGTGCAGACATTTTTGGTGAATCTGCGTTTTGACTGAGAAGCCTCCCGGGGTCGGGATGGTGATGGCCACTCGCAGCCTCATTCCACTGAACGAGGAGCGAGCGCTTTAGATTTTGGATTTGGGATTTTTGCATAGGGTAAGCCTGGTCAAGGCCAGGGCACCAGATGTTCAGCTAGAGACACACCCTGCCGCCCACCGCTGCCTGTCGCTGGCCACTGGCCGCTGGCCTTACCTGATGAAGGGGCGGGAGATGGCCAGCACAGTGCGAATGAACCAGGAGGGGTGGACGATGATCAGGGACTTCAGGTTCTTCCGCAGTCTGTGTGGGAGGCACAGGAGACCAGTTGGCCCCGGGCAAGCCCTGGGGAGGTGGGAGGGCCACCCACCGCCTGGCCCCGTGGCTCTGGTGGCCTGCCTGTAGGGAGCTGTGAGTTGGGAGGGACCCACTGTAGTAGCCAGGGGGCCTGATGGGTAAGGCATAAGCTGCTGAGACTTGTCACCATCCAGTGTCCTGGWTGGCGAGGGCCCAGGGTGGCCTCTGGTCACATGGAGCTGGGCGCAGGGTGTGTGGGCAGCCTCGGCATCGCCGGTGGGTGTAACAACCAAGAGGTGGAACAGCCCGCCCTCCTCTGAGGGACGCCTGTCCTCCCAGCCGGGAGGCCCCTCCTGCAGAAGGAGGGGGCTCTGATGCTGCTGGAGGGACTGAGGAGGAGGAGCCACCCGGGGGGCAGAGCCGGTGCAGGGACCCGCCCCGCAGGACCTTCCTACAGGAGGCCCTGGAGGTCAGGCTCCGGATGGGCAGCAGCAGGGGCGCCAGGGCTGAGGGCAGGAGCACAGTGAGCGCCTCAACAGCAGGCGTCGTGCAGTTACAGGGACAGCAAAGGTGCGTCCCCCTTATCCCAAATGACCCTGTCCTTAAGGGAGAACCTGGGCACAGACCCCAGGAGACGCTCTGCGCAGAYGCAGGTGGAGGCTGGGCCTCACTCTGCCGAGGACGCCAGAGTCACAGACTCCAGCCGACGCTGGGCAGGGTCTGGACACTCCTGTTTGGGCCCAGGGGCCAGGCCGGCCCATCTGGGCTCCAGGACGCAGCGTAGCTGTTGGAGACTCCATGGGCTCCCCGCTCCCTCTCCCTCGGCAGCCCCAGCAGCGCCGTCCACCCGCCCACCCCGGCTTCGCACGCAGGCCGGCCCTCACCTCCTGTCAATCATCTGGTAGCACTTCTTCAGCCAGCCGAGGCCCGGCATCCTCCGCCGGGGCGTGGCGCCGTTCAGGTACACGATCATGTAGTCCTCGGCCACCAGGAGCTCCAGGCTGCTGATGACGTACCTGGCGGGTGGACAGGGCAGCGCCCGGGGGCGCCCAGTGTGAGGACACCCCCCGGCCGGCGGGTCTGCACAGRCTGGCCCCTGTCCTGGAGGCTGGGGAGACGCCGTGGGCGCCCCTCAGCAGCCGSGGCTGTTTTATTGAGCATTTACCAGGTGCCAGTCACTCGGTGTGCACATCTCATTCAAGGTTTCCCGAGACCCACCCTAAGAATGGGTGTGGCCCTGTCCATCCACAGCTGGGGGWCAGCGGCCTACAGAGGCCTGCGTGGGAACACAGTCCACCTGCTCTGGAGGCTGGAGACCCGCCTCTCCCTGTGTGATTTCACATAAATGCCCCCGGCCTCAGCCTCTCATCTGGGGAGACTGGGCCCTGGGACACGTGGGCACCTCCTCTGGTCTGAGGGGCCGCCCAGCCTCCRTGGAGAGCCCCCCAACCCGCTGGGCAACGGTGGATGTGGACGGGAGGCGGCTGCTTGCGCCCTGGCCGGGCCCTGGGGACGTCTGTGTCTGACTTGCTGACAGCCCTGGGGGTCAAGGGCACTTGGAGAGCGGGCGAAGGTGGAGAGAGAGCTGGGTGGAGGAGACCCGGAGAGAGGGAGCGAGGGCAGGCTGGGCCTGTCACCGTGGGCTCTGGGTCCAGGTCACTCCTGCGGCGGYGGGCATCCTGGGCGCTGCCGTGGGTGGAGCAGTGTCCCTGGCCTCCCACGCCRTGGGCGCCCCCACACTGCCCAGACCACTTTCTCCTCACCAAGCCCTCCTCTGTGTAGGGTCCAGCCTGGCTGGCAGCCGAGTCCTGCGGCGCGAGGAAATCTTAGTAATAACAAAGGTAAGAGCCGCGCTGACGCCTGCGCTCTTAGCGTTACCTGCCACCAATCAGCCCTAGCCGTCACAGTGGGGCTGCCCTGTGTGTCCCTGGTGGTTCATGACCTCTCTGTGCCTGGATTCCCCACCTATAGAATGTGAGGCAACGGGACCCCCACATAGGGTTGTGGTCACCACGGGCCATGCTGGCATACAGGAAGTGCCTCGCCTCGCGCTGCCACACTGTAAGTGCTCAATAAATGATGGTTATGATGGTGAAGGTCCTTGTGGTGGTGGTGGTGATGGTGGTGGTGGTCATGGTCATGGTCATGGTGGTGATGGTCATGGTCATGGTCATGGTCATGGTCATGGTGGTGATGGTCATGGTGGTGATGGTGATGGTTATGATGGTGAAGGTGCTTGTGGTGGTGATGGTGATGGTCATGGTGGTGGTGATGGTGGTGATGGTGATGGTCATGGTGGTGATGGTGATGGTGATTATGGTGATGGTGGTGGTGGTGATGGTGATGGTGGTGGTGATGGTCATGGTCATGGTCATGGTGGTGATGGTGGTGGTCATGGTCATGGTGGTGGTGATGGTGGTGATGGTCATGGTCATGGTGGTGATGTTGGTAATGGTGGTGGTGGTGGTGGTGGTGGTGGTGATGATTATGGTGATGGTGGTGATGGTGGTGATGGTGGTGGTGATTATGGTGATGGTGGTGGTGGTGATGGTGGTGGTGATTATGGTGATGGGGTGAATGGTGGTTGTAGGATTGTGGTGGTCATAGTGAT